CTTATAGATAATTTTGGTTGCAATAGGTGGTTTTAATAAGGAGGGAATTTTCATAATGTATTTGTACTTTGTTTATTTTTTATTTTTTATTTAATTTAATAAAGTAAAATTAGATTTATGTAAATACAATTATAGTAAACTGTAATACAAATAGTAAATTCAGTGAAATCATATAAATTTCGTGATAAAATCAGTGATCAAATCATGTAAATTCCATATAAATCCCGTGCAAATTCCGTATCCAAACCATATTTTTAGTGATACGGAATTGTGCATTTTTCCGTATCCTATTATGATACGTTATTTCTAAGGAAAAAAAATCGTATAAAAACTTTATAAAAAACGTATCCAATTTTTTTATAGGGATTATAGAAAGAGAAAAAAATGATAAAAGACGTAAAGAATATTGGTTAATAATAGATTGTATAAAATTAAAAAGTAAAGTAGCGGTCAATGGGAAGAAAGGTTTTGAATATTTAGTTACTGTATGTGGGTTATTAGAGAAAATGAAGACGAAACGATTAATGAATTAAGATTTAGTGTGAATTACGAAGCCAAAAAAAATGAAAATTTATATAAAATTCTCATAAGAAGTTTGATTATAGAAATTTTATTATTGGGGAATAATAGCGATGTAATTTTAGGAATCAATAATAATGTATTAAAATGATTACAAGATTTCTTAATGAATTTAAGTAATAGGCGAAGGCTTGATAATGATTTTTATTTAGAATTGCTTTTTATAGAAAAATTTTTATTTGAGAATGAGATGGAAATAGTTGAACACAGCGCTAAGGAGATGAAAATTTTGAACGAATGGGGAAAAGATATAAGGGAAAAATTAAATGATAAGAAAGATATAAAAACGGATAAAATCTGATAACAGGAGACTATAGAGGGTGGCGAAAGAAATGCACAGAGGCTATTTGGAAAAATGAACTCCTGAATAGTACCAAATTAGAGGACTTATTTTATTATAACTTTAGGAGTGAATTTGATCGTAATAATTTTTCCTTTTGGCAGTGTAGTTATGATGAAGAATTACCAACGTATGGAGTTCTTTATAAAAGAGAAGTAAATGGAATTCCTGAGGAATTATGTCCGAGATGTAAAAAAAGTAATGAAGATTGGGAACATATTTGGACATGAACGTTTCGCAACGTTTATTTCAATGCTTCAATAAAAAACGTTTGAAGCGAACGAAATAGAAGTTAGTGATTTGATTAAAGAGTCCATTTACGAGTATGAAACAAAGATGATAGACGAAAAGAAATCAGAAGAGGCGGCAATTGTAAGAGATATAAATTTTGACTTTATTAGAGTGAGAATTGTTAAGAGGCATATAATAACAATTTCAACAAGATATCAAAAAGAAAAGATTATAAATCGGTGATAGAGGATTTATGGTGTTTTTGTTATGAATAAATAAGATCAAGAATATGGATAAAAAGATGTGAGATAGTTGCTGAGATAGAAAAGAAAGAGGTTTAACGAAAAAAAGATTTAAAGAAAAGAAAAGGAAAGGAGGAATCAGGGGACGATTTAGATAGGGAGAAAAACAAATGAAAATATATAATTATTTTTTAGATATATTTTTAGAACTAAAATTTTTTTAGTTATAGAGAATATTATAAATAATTATGTAATCAATTTGATAATTGTTCTTAATTAAATTTATTGCACTGAGAATTATGTAAGCAGTATTAAGGAAAATTCATGGGAATTTTTCTTGACAAAACGTAAATAATGATTTTTTTTGATCGGTAATGGCGCTAAACAATTAATTTTTTATTGTATAAAATTAAACTATATATTAACAGTTAAACAATTATTGTTTTTCTCTTTTTTTTCTTTAGGAAAATTTTTTCAAGAGACTTAATTTTTTTTTTTAGGCCAGCTCCTTTTGGACGATTTTTTTGATTTTTTTTAGGCTGGATTTTCACAATGATTATCTTACTAAAACTGTGATTATCTTACGATCGATTAAAAAACACTTTTTCTCTTTTGTAGGTTCCAGTTCTAGTATGTTATAAACTTCGAAACTTGTTTTTTAAGAAACTTTTATTAATGTTTCTTTATTTTTTTGTAGGTCCTTTCCAGTTCCTTTTTGGCATTAGACATCGGTAAGTTTCGAAGTTATAACTTCGAAACTTTGTTTTTTAATTTGTTTTCAAAGAAACGTTAACTAACGTTTCTTTTTTTTGTGTAGACTCCATGTTTCGGCTTGGGAACCTTAAACGAAACGGTAAGTTTCGTAACATTTCGTTGCGAAACAATTTATTTATTTATTTATTTATTTATTTTTTAATAAGAAATGTTATTTATTCTAACGTTTCTTTTTTTTTGCAGGTTCGTTTTCAACTTGGTAACTTCGGAACGGTAGATTTCGAAAATGGTAAGTTTCGCAACGTTATGTAACGTTGTGAAACCTTATTTTTTTTTTTTTTTATAAAGAGACGTTATTTCACGTTTCTTATTTTTTTTTTGTAGGTACGGCTCGGAGCTTCGAAACAAAATGTTAAGTTTCGCAAACGTCGTTAAACTTGAATGTTTTTTAATTGTAAGATATTAACGTTTCTTCTTTTTATTGTAGGTTGAAGCATTTCTTTCAGTTTGGGAAATTCGAATGACGACTTTTGAAACGGTAAGTTTCGCAACATTTTTGTTGCGTTGCGAAACTTAAAAAAATTTTCTTTGAGAAACGTTATACTAAAATTTCTCTCTCTTTTTTTGTAGGTTCAAGCGGGAAACTTCAAACAGTAAATTTCGAACGGTAGCGAAACTTATTTTTTTCTATTTTTTTTTTTTTTTT